GAAGCAGCTTGCCAAAAATTTGCTCGTTTCCTTCTGAGTGAGCTGTGTCGCATGGGCTGCTTGCCATGAAAACAAAGGAAGAAGATTATATCATTATTGCTTTCCACTTCTGACATAGCCAGTACATTTTTTGAAAAACCATCGTCCAGAGCGAAACAAAACAGCCAGCACACGGGCGGCCGTTTATAATTACATTCCAAGCGAACAGCGGAGATAGAGAATAAATAAAATCTCGCAGCCTGATTTTTCCAAACAGTTTATTGTAATGAAATTTTAGCTGCAGGCTTGCGTGTGACAGTAAATTGCCAATTCCCTTATTTAAGCATAATTTTAACATCAATGCTTATGAGTGGTCAGTCTTCATTCTTATCTTTTAATTCCATGCAATAAACATCAAATAAATGCAGTAATCAGCCAGAAATCAGCAAAATTCTACACGACATAAATTTATGTCACGCGCGCCGCCGGTCTTGTCTGCTTCTTTGTGCGAAAATGTTCTGTCGCTGGCAAAAAACAATTTAGAAATGTCATGACATTTTTGCCGCTTGCCAGTTTGTTTTTGTGTATCCAAAATGGTTATCGCAAAAAGTATCAAATGTTAAGGAAAAAATGTTAAACTCCAGGACTCGTGTCACCACTGGACAAAGCGCTATCATTCGGTTTGTTGATCGCTTGTTATTTTATCATTTGGAAATATTTTTGATTCCTTGGTTGAATATTATCTAAACAAAAAGCCTTCTGTGTTGCAAAATAAAATGAGTTCTCGAGACTGCCTTGGATTATTCAGAATTTTATCTTGGTCCCCATAAAAGAATATCACTCCCATATGGTAAAAGTAGGAATTGTGGGGCCTTATAGCCTAGTCAGTAAAGGCACGGTATTACCAAGCCGGAGGCGGCGGATTCGATTCCCGGTCCGGTCGAGGGAATCTTTTGGGTTGGAAATTTTCTCGACTTCCCTGGGCATAGAGTATCATTGTGCTTGCCACACAATATACAAATTCATGCATTGGTATTGGCATCGAAAAGCTCTCAATTCATAACTGTGGAAGTGCATTTAGAACATTAACTTGAGAGCACGCAATAAGCTAATGTGCACTAAGCAATAAGCTTGAAATGCGAATAAGAAGAAGAAGAAGAAGAAGAAGAAGAAGAAGAAGAAGAAGAAGAAGAAGAAGGAATTCAGAAAAATAGCAGTCGGAGTAACGAAGTGCGATTCTCATGTAAATAATAGAAAATTCATAGTAAATTTATTAATATTATTTCAATCTGCTGTCAAAACATTCGAGAATCGACCACTAGGAACGCTGTTAAAAAATAAGCAATGTGTCCAGATTTTAAGTGAATCGAGCATTATTTTTCAGAGCTGGCAAAAACAAAATTATGTGTGTGGGAAGAAATTTCCCAATAAAATTGGATGAAACTTCCCAGGAAAGTTGGAATAAGCTTTGGTGCAAAGTCAGAATAAGCTTTCGGGTGAACTTGGAAGAAACTTCCGGTGAAATTAGATGAACCTATCCAGAGAAGCAGGACGAAACTTCCAGGGGAAGCCGTTCGAAACTTCCGGGGCAAACCATTGCCGGGAGAACTCCGAAACAAATATTCCGTAGAAACCAGAAGACACTTCCAAAGAATGTCACAAGGGCTTCTGATAAGTCGGAAGAAAGTTCCAGGAGAGATTAGAAGAGTCTTCCGTGTGAAATAGAGTGAAATTTCCACTTCAAGAGAAAGCTAGTTGTACTTTTAGGGAAAGATGCAAACATCTTCTAAGACAAGTTGGATGAAATTTTCTGGAAATTTTTGAAGAAAGTTGGACCAAGTCACAATTCTTATATGTAACTAACAAACGAATAACTATGTCAAAAAATATATCTGGTCACCACCTGTTCCCCGATTCCCTGTTAATTCAAAAATGGCCAAGAAATGGAAACACTACCCGAGCAAAGGATTATACCAGATTGATAACAAGTTCTGATACCGGTTGTCAAGATTTAATAACTGAATATGTTATCATTGTGGTTGAATAAGCAGCCAACATAACACAAATTATAACAAAAAATTACTCCGTGGATATCAAAAAAATAACTGATTTAGTTATCATTGAAAACATCTTGATAACAAATCCTGTGATCCATGCAAATATTTTCAACAAATTTCAAATTATTTTATTGATTTGGTATTAAAACCTTACGCAGATAACTGAAACATGATTCCCGAGAAAGTAAATAACAACTTGATATCATCTTGAAAATAAGTCGTGTTATTCCAGATATCATATTATTTTCTGTTGTTATCGCATAACCAATTTAGTTATCAACATCGACTAATTTTGTTATCATTTGTTATCATGAAAGAATACCCGAGTAAAAACATCTTGAATAGCAAAACATCTTGATAGCAACGAAAACATCTTGATAGCAAATCCTGTGATGCATGTGATTTTTTTTTCTAAAAATTCAAAATTAATTTGTCGATTTGGAATAACAGCCTTACACTGATAAATAAAATATGATTGGCAGTGTTTTGTTTCTTACCATGCGGAGAATATTTGAAGTTTTGAACTAACCTTTTATCATTTCATTTTCTTTGATGATAACAACTGATAACAAAATTAGTCGAGATTAAAAACTAAATTAGATATGTGATAACAACTGAAAACAAAGTGATATCTGGAATAACAAAACTTGTTTTCAGGATGATATCAGGTTGTTATTTTACTTTGCTCGGGTATGGAATGATGTAAGTTTACTTTAAAACTTCAAATATTATCCGCATGGTGAGAAAAAAAAACACACTGATAATCATGTTTCAGTTATATGCGTAAGTTTTTAATACCAAATCAATAAAATAATTTGAAATTTGTCGGATTTTTTATCAAGATGTTTTCAATGATAACTAAATAAGATATTTTTTTGATATCCACGGAGTAATTTTTTGTTATAATTTGTGTTATGTTGGCTGTTTATTCAACCACAATGATAACATATTCAGTTATCAAATCTTGAAAACCGGGTATCAGAACTTGTTATCAATCTGGTATAATCTTTTGCTCGGGTTGGTTGTGTGTTTTTTTTTTTAATATTTGAAGTTTTAAAGTAAACTAACATCATTCCATATTCTTTCATGATAACAAATGATAACAAAATTAATCGATGTTGATAACTAAATTATTTATGCGATAACAACAGAATATAAAATGATATCTGGAATAACAAGACTTATTTTCAAGATGATATCAAGCTGTTATTTTACTTTGCTCGGGTATGCACTATGCACTATGAAACCGAAACAGATAAATTCAAACATTAAGGCTTTAATTATTTATTTTAGATATTATCTAAACTGAGATTTTCTTATGTAACAAAGGTTGTATACATCTGCTCTGTGTAAAAATATGGGTTTATCGGAGATAACGGGTTTAAATATGTGGAAAACTCAAACTTCCCTTAAATTGTGCAAAAGGCCTTATTATGGGATTGTAGATACGAAAATCTCAATCATCCCTAAAATCGTGAAAGCGGCCTTATTCACGGAGAAAAACGGGTTTAGAGATTAGAAAAACCTAATCACCCCTTAAATTACGAGATAAATTAGTTCAAAGATGTGGAAAATCCAAGATCTTTCATCCCTCAGTACACATATTCAATGATGCTTTTTCTTTAAAACCAATGTAGACCTAAACTGTCCATAAGCTCAGTTCCCCCATAAACTATGCCAATCTACCAAGGTACAATGCACCCATTTGGCCAGAACAAAACGCGCCCATAAATTGGCAGGCCCATAAGTTTCCCACTCTCGCGTTTAGAACTTCGTTCTTCGCGCCTAGAACGTTTCGCCCGTTAGATAAGAAATAAAAGCAAACTGCAATTGAAACCAATATCGTGTCACGTGTCAAGTATTGGTTATTGCTCCGGACCCATACTCTTTGCACCGGAATTTACTGCCCATATAGCTGTTTGCGGGCTGCCATTGCTTGGGTTAGACCACGTTTAGAACACTGCTGATCGCCACGGGTCAACGTTGGTGGTCCGGACACTGCAGTGTGTTCGGAACCGCAAAACAAATGACGACTCACGAGACTGCGGAGGGATTTGTGGGAGATTTTCCATTTTATTACCCGGTTCCACGAATAAAGGATTGCCGGACTTCTCGTAATCGTCACCACCGCGAGACAGAACAACGGCTACAGGTTTGCGGGAATCAGTTCTTGATCATCGTCGCATGGGAGGGGGGTTTGTGGATCTGGAGAAGACAGATCGTAAAGTGCAGTTTGTCGTTTATGTCAATTCAATTAAGAAAAATGCACTGCTTTGATTGTGCTTGATGCAGTAGGATGGAAGTGACGATTACTCGGCGACGAAGACGAGTTGGTTGGTTGATTGGCTATTAACTGTATTGCGACAGGTCGTCAATTAGATTACGTGCGGAGATCAAAGTTTGAGAACTTTTGTTGATTCAGTTTTAACGATTGTGCTCCGAGGTAGATTGCGAAACGTCGGGTGCATAACATCTAGGTTACTCACTTAATTTGCCTTTCTGCGGAAATCGCTATCGGATCGGTCCGACGGACACAGACATACCTCCAGTGTGCGCTGAACAAACAAGTTGAGCTACTTATGCTAAAAGCTCGCCTGGGCTTGTTGTTTTTTTTTCTTGTAGCCACAGGGAACAGAACGACTAGTGTGATGCTGTAGTTAGGGATGTGTGATGGGTTCTGAAGAATAGGGAGTTATATTTTAAGATTTGACTTTCATATGTCCGCTATGTCTGAAATAGCGTTTTATAAGAATTGAATATCCATACCAGGTATGCCACGTACAAGTTTAGGTTCAAACGTCCTCTGTACATCACTGTCCTCGCCTGTTATTACGATGTAAAGCACGCAAAAATTTGCATCAACGAACGCATTTCGCTCGTGATAAATGATCGCTTTATTTACCGGTGCTCTTCTTTTTCTCTTTTTCTTCCCGATTTTCCTTCGTCGAATGGCATCACGCACAGGCCCGTCCCCTGACGATGCCGCCGGTGGACAACAACAATTTATCATCGAACGGTATTGAGAAGCTGATAGACCAGCACTTTGGGCCACTGTATCCCGATTACGCGGACCACACACGGCCGGTGCTGATCCGACAGGCGCGGGATCTGCTAGTATGCACCTTCCACGGCGATCTGGAGCGTTTCGAGGCTGGTTTCCTGCGACCGGCGGCAGCAATCGTGAGCGGACTGCGGAGCGTCTATCTTCAAGGACAGGTGAGTGAGTGCGGTGGAATTCACGGCGTCGTCCCTTTCGGGGGATTGGTCATGGTCAGATGATTGCTCTGCTTATTGTAAATGGAGAAATTCTCCGTGTTTCAGTAGGGATCAAAGCTTATCCGGGATGTGGTTATGTAATTTACGTAATCGTAGCTGATCCACGTAAGTGACAAATTGAAGGGTTTGGAATGTGGAAAGGACGGAATCGATAGCCTGGAACGGTTAATTTATTGAGGGTCGGAAGGCTTTATTCTACCGTACTGTCACTCATTCTTGAGCTGCAACCAGAGCTTCACTCCATAATTACTCTCATTGTGGTAATCACGTGCCCGCAACTGCAAAGGTGACACAAGATATGTACCGTATCAAAGTGCAAAGAACTCCGGAAACAGTATGTTAACATCCTCCTTATCAACAGCACAATCTCCATTTAATTCTCTGCGATGATATGTGCAGTCGTTTGTCTTGACGTCAGAGCGAGAAAGATTAACAAACTCCAAAAAAAAAAAAAAAACGTCTTCAAGGTGGGAGATAAGCACTCGAGTAAACAAGTAGGCATGTGCAGCAGCACGCCGCCGACCGTCGCATCTCGGGATTCAAAGTCGAGTTTAGTCGCTCCAGAGATAAAGGCTGACTAAAAGAAAATTGGTACGCACAAAAAGACCCGTAATTCGTGATTCAATAAGTTTAAAATGTCCATCAATGGTTGCTTTACAGTACTTTTATTAAAACTTCTAAGTTACAGCATTATATGGTTACATTTCTCCTGTTCGAACGAAATCTCGAACCTTCCTCTTGATGGAGCCCATCAGCGCCCGTACAGTGGAAACGGACACGGAATCCGGCCAAAAGTTGACTTTGCCCCTACGCTTGCGGATGAACGGCAATACACGCTTTTTCAGGCATTCTTTGATGTAAACTTGGGATGTCATCATCGAGGATGTGCCGAATGGTTCCGTTTTCAGGCCACAACTGCAAATCGCTTGTCAAATCATAGACTTTTTCGCGAACTTGTCGACAAACACAAATTTGAATCGTCCCGGCACATCCCCGGCACATCGTCCAGTCGCGATGTAAATCTTTTAACCAGGATCGAGTTTGACGTATTTTTCGTCATCGATCAAAGTGCAGCCCTTGTGTTTCGTCAAAACACGGTCGTACAAGAGCCTTGCAGGCATTTTGGTCACGGAATTCTGCTTCATGTATCGGTTTGGATGTCTACTGGCTTTGTCCGATTTGTATCCTTCCCTGGCAATGAAGGTTAGTGTTGTACCTTCTGGCCACATCTTGGATCAAAAGACCGGGGTTGGCTTTAACGCACCTCAACACCTTGCTGCGCAGCTGACGATCCCTGGTTCCAGTTTTTTTGTAGGTCCGCTGATTCCTTTCCACACTCAGGGTTCCCTTGTAGGTTTTGCACTTTTAACAAACTGCTGTCTTCGGCATCTTCAGCACTTTAACCAGCTTGGAACCGGACCATTCCGGATTTTCCAGGTATTTGTGCACAATATTTTTTCTTCTTTCGAGTTCCATTTGACGTTATTTTTGAACGCCGACTACTTTTATCAAACTTGCACCAGTTGAAGTACAGAAGTGTAAACAAACAACTGTCAAATATTTTCGATTCCCAACACTAGAGGCGTGCTATAAGCGCGTGAGGGGCGTACAAATTTACTTCTAGTCAGCCTGTAGAAGTGATAATGTCCAGAAAAAAAGTGTTGAAAAGCATATCGGAGTTATCGCGAGACATACTGAGTAGCAAAGAAAGATGACGATGGATGCGAAGACGGTTATACGTAAATAAAAGAGCGAAACATCATTTCTACCTGTTTGTGGTTGATGTGGGGCAATATAATGATATCAGTTGCATGTCAGGAGTGTGTTCACAAAAATGTCGTTGAACCCTGAAACGAATCGACAATATTCTTTGAATTGCTTTCGGAATACTCGGTACCCTCTACAATGGAGCTACGTGGGGGGAATTGCTAAGAGAATTTGCAAATCGAGCATCCTTTTGTTCAGGTTCGGTGCATCAAAAGTTTACAAATGAAAAGGAATGAAGGATAACATAAAACCGTCTTATGTTGTAAGTCGCTGATTTGCTGGTGCAACAATAGATGCGTATTTATTTTAACGAGGATATCTGTCGAGAACTTTAGAGACAGTGTAGTACAAAAATACATGATTGGTTTGAATTATTTCAATGCCAGTCTCCGGACCATTTTAAAAGTTGATTATTTATCATTGCTTACCATGCTAAAAAATGCGTACGCAGGATAGTTTATCATAGTCTTTTATAATCGTTCAGAACCATCACACATAGGGTCAATGTCCCTAATGTCAGCCTATATGACGCATTGTTCAAAGAAAAAATGATGAACAGGAGATTTGGCTGTTTTGGCAAAAATGTATATGTGAAACTTATACTACTTATGGCTCGTTTTGGCAAACGGTACGCTGAATTACAGTGTTTGAAAAGACGGCTAACGAATCTTTCATGTGGATGGGTATGACGTTAATCTCATGATGTTCTGCTCACTAAGCAAAAACGGTCGCTTTAAGGCCACCGAGATCTTCATGTCACATCACACCATTTATGATCGAGTTGTTGTAGCCATTCAAACCCGGCATTAAATAATTTAATATGATGGGGCCTGGGTTTGATCCCACGATTTTCTGCTCAGTAAGCAAAAACGGCTGTCTGAGGCAGCCGAGCCCTTCAAATCAGAACATACCACTATGATGGAGTTAGTGATATAACCCGATGGTGGTGCCCCTTACACCAGAATAAGCCACGACGACCGACGATCTTTTAAACCTGGAGACATGAAGCTACGAAAAAGTCCACACTTTTTGGGCTACCATGCACAACAAACTACGACCGACGCGACGGTTGTTTAATGATAAATATTTTATATTTGAGTCATGCACTTAACTCTCAATCCTCTTCACAAACTACTATTCCCTAATAAACCGAACTAACAAGTCGGACGGAAAAATCTCGCGCAACATTTGAAAATTGAACATGACTAAAATGTAAACAAATAGTTTTTTTTAATACCGTTCTATAGCACCCCTAAATAACTACCAGTTGTATAGGAATGTTCCGCTAATCGATAAAAATCATTAAAAATAACTTGATTTTTAAAAAGGCTGATCAACGAAATTTTTCGAATCATTCATAGTTTCACATGCTAAAACCGTCTAACATACATTTTTTCCGTTTCATTCATAGTGACGTAGAAGGGCCAATGATTGCACGTTTTCAAATCAAAGTTAGGCGTGATTTGTTTTGCATTTATTTGACGTTAAGAAAACGCTTTACCGCAAACCATTTATGATGACAAGCACACCGGCTTAACAAAAAGGGCCTAACCATTGAAGGATTTACACAGAGGCTTATTAATTTATAAAATTAAATCGTTCTCGATTTTCATGTATTTTTGGAAACTTTTTGCATATTTTGGATGTTGTGTTTTGGGATACAGTTACTTTTGTAATTGTGAACAATATAAATCCCTAAATTACTTCAATTTCATTATATATGAATTAAACAGTGGTGCAAAAATGTACAATTTATTTTCTGGTTTGTTTTCATTTTGGACACAGGCCCTCTTCAAATGCTTCGCGAGAAATCACCAAATTTGTGTGATCTTTACCACTACACGACACCACCAACACACTTCCTTCTTTTTTCTTCTTCTTCTTCTTCTTCTTCTTCTTCTTCTTCTTCTTCTTCTTTTTCTTCTTCTTCGTACCCAAGTAACACATAAAACATCCTTTTGAAAAAGAATTAGAACGGCTTGTTGTATAAATGTATTATAAGAGATGCAGAAAACATCCCACGTTATATGTAAGGTTTAAAGAAGTTTTCTTCATACTTCTTTGATTCAACATTTTCCAAAATAGTGTTCTTTTGCTTTTATCTCTAAATGTTATAATACCATTATAAAACATGTCGTACTCAAAATCAATCCAGATTGACGTAAACATTGACGGTGCCATTGAGCAGTGATTGACAGTTTCTTATGAGGTATTCGGAGGTTTGTTATAAAGAAAGTTGAAAATACTTTTTTATGACATCTCATAAATGAATACAACTGAAAATGTGCAGGTTGTCTTATAAGGAGTTGAAAATACGTTTAAATAACATTCTGGTACATCTACGCTTTGCTACTAACAAAACGTCTTCATGACGGACCGAAGCCGTGTTGAACGAGAAAATAATTTTCATGCTATTGGCAAGAACATCATAGATACTTATAACATTACCCTACCTATAAGCGGTATTGGTCTAGTTAGGTAGTAACAATTATACCACGCCAAGGACCAGTGATCGAATCCCATGCTCAAGTTTTTTTTAAATTTTTTTTTCGTCGCTGGTTTTTATGATGTTTCCGAAACATGTTATAAGACCAGTATTTAGTTGTATAAGCTCCACGTCTTGCGCTTTTTAGGTTGTATAAATGTATTAAATGATGTTTATTAAAGTATTAGTGATTCTTTGCGTTAGTCATTACAAAGTATTTTCAACTTCTTTATGACAAGCCGTGTTGCTTGGGTATTAGCTTATTGCGTGCTCTCAATTTAGTGTTCTAGATGCACTTCCACAGTTATTAATTGAGAGCTTTCGATGCCTGTACCATTTTTGCATTGGTATAATTGTGTGGCAAGTCCAATCATACTTCTATGCCCAGGGAAGTCGAGAAATTTTCCAACCCGAAAAATTCCTAGACCGGACCGGGAATTGAACCCAGCCACCTCCAGCATGGTCTTGCTTTGTAGCTGCGCCTTTACCGACAGAGCTAAGGGAGGCCCCCACCAGCTCACTTCCATGCATGCTAAATATCCGCCTTCCACTCGTGCGTGTATGTTTCTGCTTCTCTCATGTTCACCAATACAAATATCATTCTTACGCTTCGAAGCTGTAATGCCAGGTGATTTTTATACATATATGGACAGGTACAAAACATAATCTGGAAGAATGGAATGCCCTGATAGGGTATACGTCCCTAACCTCGGTCTAATATGCAGCCATCGATTACGTTTTTAATCATAACTCATCAATGAATTTACCTGCAAACGATATTCTACTGCTAAATGGTATGCTTAGATATGCTTATCATGTCGTTTGCTATCAGAAACCACGAAAAGTTGAAAAACTTACTTTTTTTAAGACAATAACTCACGAGGGAAATGTATGTAATATGGGTCTATTGTCCCCAAATTGGGTC